GGCTAGCTACATGTAGCTAGTGAATGTGAGTTGAGCTAAAATGCCTAATCATATGCCTAGTGCATTGGAGTTGAAAAAAATGAGTTATATTAGGCATTTTGACTAACAAACATTATATACCTAGTAGGTTGGAGATGCTCTTATAACTTAAAAGAAAAATAACATAACTTCAATTTTTTGAGTCATAATTAAAAAAGAAAAAACAAAAAAAGTATATCATAATTAAACACAACATGTCGCATAACTAAAGAACACATGTGTCATAACTAAAATAATGTCACAATTAAAAAAGAAATTTTTTCATAACTAAGGAAGAAAATGACATAACTAAAGAAGAAAATAACATATTTAAGGGTTCATATGATACACATTTTTTTAAAGGAGTGTACATTAGAATTTTCCTCAACTCTTAGTTTTCAACTTCCAATTTTATCAAACACCAGCTAACTCTTGAAAACATAAAGATGATGCTAGTTCGTAGTTTTCTTCAATACTAGTTTATTTATTTGCTTTGCATGAAGCAAATAAATAAATAAATAAATAAAATAAAAAAACAGAAAGGAAGCAATAGAATTTTTGTTGGCCTTTGAATTTCTATCTTGTTGGCCTTTTAGTTTATAATAGATAACCTTAACGAATAGAATTTTTACCTTGAATTGGTAAAGAACCACTAAGGTTATTTTGAGCCAGAGATAGAGCTTTCAGAGAAGATAATGCTCCTATGGATGGAGGAATACTTGCAAAGAAATTATTCTCACTCAAATCTAAGATCTGAAGATGGCGGAAGGATGTCAAACCTACCAAAACATATGATAAAAGTAAAATAGAGCCAAGAGAACTCAACAAAATACAATCAAGATTGCAAGGTGATCCTGAGACAATTTAAAAAACAAAATTCTTGCCTTCCATTGGTAGTGTTCCATTGAGCAGATTTCTTCTGAGGAGGAGGACCTCCAAATTGCTAAGATTATAAGTCAATTCTGTAACCCAGGTGAAGAGACTCGTTAATTAGATTGAGATAAAGAAAATAGAGATAAATATAATTTGATGTTGTGACCTATATTCTATGGGCACCTCAGTTAGTAGCTCAACTTCAAATGAAAATGTAATGTTAAAAAAATTTAAGGACAGTGATGCCATTGATGGCAGTAATAGATTCCAGAAAGATATATTTGACAAAGAACTATAAGTTCGCACAAAATTGCTAGCTGTAAGACTTAATTTTTCCAACTATTTTAAGTGTTCTCAACACTCAAATGGAACTTAAAAAATTAACTTAAGTAGCATGAATTTGAGAAATAAAAAATACACATACCTTGGTTAGAAAGTGGTCCTTCCATTTGATTGAACACTAAGGATAGAAACTTAAGGGATGGGAGAGCACCCAAAATCTTGAAGGCATCCTTGTCAAAATGATTACCACTTAGATCCAGATGTCTCATCTTGCTCAAATTAGACAGTAGTTTAGAATCTGAGCATATGACCATGATCAAATGTCATTAAAAGTCAACCCCAAAGAACCATAAGTGAAAATGACCAACTTATTGCTTTCACAGGTAATTAGGTACTTTGTAAAAAGACTTTCACTCTGATTCACAATTGTAGAGAATATATATATATATATATATAGTGGTATCTATGGAATTAGCACACACACACACACCCGTTATTTCACCAAAAACAATAATTAGGTAAACTACAAACCGCTAGCTATGTCATTTTAATTAAAGAATCAATACACTTCCATTTGTTTCTACTCATGGGGAATTACCTGCTATGTATAAAACCAGACAATGTAGACAATTTCTTTCATAAGTAACATCTAACGTATTCAATCATATTTTCAATTTGAAATCAATAGGTAAGTTGAACCAGTTAAAAAGATAATATATAATAAATAATAAACAAAATGAAACAAAAGAAGTTGTAGAGCTAGAAGTACTAACAACTATTTCCCGGCCTTTTATTTCCTTTTCTTTTGTTTTGCTTTCTCTTTTTGGGCTTTTCTGTTATTTATTTAAATATTTGAAAATCAAGAGCACAATCATTGAATGGCACCATCATTATTTTACACATAATTGCACGGTAGAAATCTATGACTTTGAATGCTACTATCAAGGAAAGTGTCAGCTATCTAAATACAAAGTTATAACATCAGATTTCTATATATTGTTGATTTCAAGTAGACATTAAAATGCTCTTCTGAAGCTCAATGAATGACACAACACTCTAAAATCCATGCATCATCCAATGCCTTTGTCAAATCCTCTTCGCTTTAATTGATTCATGGCCTTTCTCTTTATGTGAACTTGTTGGAAATTGTCTCAAGTTCCTATCTTTAGGTGTTGGTTTTTCTTTTATGAAGTATTCTTGCGGCGATAATTTCATAATCTTTGCAATAATAATTTGGTCTAAAAGAGGCTTAGAGTTAAAATTTTGAGCATGCCCAAGGTTTTAATACGAGGGTTGAGGGGCTCTCCTCTCATGGCAGAGCATGTTTCTTTTGAGAGTAATAGAGTTGATTCTCTAAAGAAGAATGAGTAGTGCTGCTTGAGCAGAATATTTAGGCCAAAATTGCAAACTGACTCCAAATGGAAATTTTCTATTAAAAAAGCAAGTTAAAGGGTTATGCCTTGGTATCATATCTATTAAGTTGTGGTTTGTAAGTAGTATTATTTTGTTTGGGTATTTTGGTAGTGCAGTCAATTTGGTGGGTAAAGAAGGTAAACCACATAATTATGTTTTCTGCTTATTTTTTATGCTTAATAATTTTCCTATGCTATCTTTTCCTGCTAATTCAACAAAACCTTGTAGTACAACATATACCAACGGCTAAAACTCTAATGGCTCAACATTATTTTAGGTGGGTTACTGAGCTAACAAAAACAACCAGATGGGGGTGCCTGTAAACATGCTGTAATATTTCTAGATGGGTAGATCAATATTTAAGAAGTTGGTTGCAAATAAACAGATATACTTTTGACCCATTGCTGTAAGCTATAGTTGTGCCATTAATCATGGTATTTCCATAGCAGGTGGTTTAAACATGAACTCATACATATAAAAAGAGAATTTATTGATAGTTCTATTCAATTTGTGGCCCTACATGATTGAAATTATTTTGTGATACACCCAATTCCTCATTCACTGTATTGGGATTTCAAATCATAAATTGGAGACTTTAAGTGGAATGCTATCTCTACTTACTAGCTGAGATTGCCAGCATCAATTTTAATAAAGAGTAATCAACAATCACGCTCTATTTAACATTGCAATTCTATTGCTAGAAGCCACAGAGGTTAATAATTTTCTCATTCAATTCAACCTTCTTTTTTAAAAGGGCTACAATATTTATGGTTATCTATAATATGTTTGTGACTAGTGAGGCAATTTGGTTAGTTGATGCACGGAAAATGAGTGAGAGCACTAATTAGTGCTATCACTAATGATGTGGCAGTGGGCCCACCATGAATGATTTGATGTTTTCGCCTTGGTGTTGTATTTTTTTTATTTTTTTATTGAATGTCATGTCATTAGTGGTCTTTTTAGAGCTCCAAAATTAGTAGTCTCTATCATTATTGGTTGATGCACTATGTATTAAGAAGCATGGATACGGACATGAGACATGAATACAGCGTGATATAGACATACAAACATAACAATATTAAAAAAATCTCAACATACGAAGTGGAAGAACACGATAACTAATGAGCATATATTTTATATGAGTAATGCTAGAGACCCCAAATATTCTACCAAAAGTTTTATCAAATGTCTCACATGGGTGTGGGACCCACACAATGTGGGTCCCATGTGGGTCCCACACCCATGTGAGACATTTGGTAAAACTTTTGGTAGAATTTTTAGGGTCTCTAGTATTTTTGATTTTATATGCATACCTCAAAAGGACAAATAGATACTGCTTCTTCTTTTACTTTATTATTTATTTTTTTCTTTAACAGTGAAAGCATTGACTTTGTTTTGTTAAGTTTTTCAAAGCTGCTTTCGAATTTTTTATTTTTCAAGTTTTCTTAATTTTTTTTATTTTATATATTTAGTTCAAATAATTTTACTTTGCACTTAAGAAGTAATATATTTTTAAAGAAAAACTAAAAAAAATTCACCAAAGAAAAGAAAAAACACACAAAAATGTCCATATTTTTTTTAATTTTTTGTGAAGTTTCTTCAAATTTCTTCACAAATGTTTGGAAAAGGATATGTACCCCGAAAAAGTAATATGTAATTTATCCTCAAAGTGATTGAACTTGGTATTATGTGGGCCACCCTTAGAATGAAAGGGATCCACACATTATATTTTTTAGATACTTTTATGGATACTTTTTTATGGGTACCTAACATTGTTGCAAATATTTCACCTTTTACGTGCATCTAAAAATTAAAAAAAAAAAATTGACACAAATTTAAAGAAATTCACTAAAGCCAAAATATAAGAAAAATAAAATTACTTAAACTAGTTTTTGAGTTTGAAAACTAAACAGATGAATTATGTTTTATTATATCAAAATAGTCATAAATCATTTTTTACATTCTTTCTACATATTAGAAAAGAAGCGCCAATAAACAAATCCTAACCTAAAAAGTCTATTCATAAGCAAATCGGAAGTTTTGGGCTCTACAATTCTTAAAGTGTAATGTTAAAGGCTTCATGAAAATTATCCACCTTTAGATTAGTTTGTGATGTTTTATTGTATGTCATGCAATTACATATCCAATGGAGCTTTTCATGATATTTCTTTCATGAAACCTAGCATTACTCATTCTTAAAATTCAAAAGTTAAAGAATGAGAGATTAATAAGAATTCACAAATTTTTTTCCAATTAAATCCCAAATTTATTTTTTCAAACTTACAATGCTGTGTTCTAAGAAATAGATGTGAGTCCCCCAAATATTTATAATAGAACTCCAATACATGTTGGGAAGCATTTGAAGAATGTCGGAATTCAATACGGACAAATGCCTATTTAGAAGTGTCTAAGCTTCATAGAGTATGTATCTTTATAAATTGAGCTATCTGATTCAGAATTATGAGAATTAGTTCAATTGCATCAAGATCGAGGTCAAAAGAGAACTTCAAGACCTGCAATATTAGTTTCCACAAGATTGTGAAACATTTACTCATTCTTCTTTCTAGATTATATTTGTTGTTCTTCTTTCTAGGCAATATGAGCCAAATCAGTGATTAAAATGCAATAGGATGGGAAGATAGTCCATTATTGTTAGTGCATGAAATACTACAGAGGTTATATGGTTTTCCTGCTCTGTTTGTTGAAAACTTGGAGCAAGCATGTAATTTCAAGAAGGCTAGGTTTTACCTTGGATGTCATTAAATTGAATAGAACTTAGATCCAACCTTTCCAGGTTCCCAAGATAAGCTAATTCTGCACAAAGAAACAACAAAGTGATGAGTTTACGACATAGTAATCCCAAGATTAGTAAAAATAATTATGTAATTGTAATTATGATTACCAGTTCTGAACTCCCTGTACAAATAAGAAACAATCATGAATTTTCAGACACAATTGAAGTTACCTTGAGGTGGAAATAATCCCCCAATGTTATTTGCACAGAGATTAAGCATCTTAAGGGATCTAAGCGCACTCAAAGATGGCAGAATGCTATCATCAAAGTCGTTCCATTTAAGATTTAGAGTCTCCAATTTTCTCAAAGCCGACAGCTTTTCAAAACCTGTATGAAAATTTTGATAAAATGAATCATTGACACTTCAATTCAACAAAGCATTAGTTCCAAGGATCCAAATACCACGAGATTGGAGTTGAATAAATTTTTCTTACCCAAGTAATTCGTATATATTATATCCTTAATTACACACAATGCAATGATTAATTGATCAACCAGCATTGTAACAAATTACCCACTCCCTCCATTTGAACAAATACAACCTTGAAAGTTTGTGCCACTATAAGAACATATGCCATCAAGAGATTCAGTTCTTTTTTTTTCTCTATGTTCTTTCCCAAGGAACAAACTTACAAATGCACTAATGCAACAGGTTGATAACGAAATGTAAGTTGTACAACAAGTTCTTATCTTGCATTCATATTTTTCTTTCCAAAATTGTTTGCGGTACATAGTTATATTCAGTGGCGAAATCAGAAAGTTAAATTAGGGGGTCCTTATTAATTACAATATCGAAAATTTTTACAAAAATATTTCACGCAAGTTTTTACAATTGATTTCAAAAAACATCAAAAAAATAATGTAAAATTAGTGGGGGTTAGTTTGCACTTGGGGTGTCATGTTTTTATTTACTTCTTCTTATTCTTTTTTGGCTGTTTGATTGGTTGCTCGCCAATCTTGGGCTGCGTGCTGGCATATGATAGGGCTTGCTCTTTGGTGTCAACCTAGTTGGGATTTTTGAGTTTAGCTTTGATGCTCTTTGCACCTCCCCTCTCTTTTTGGTGTTTGTATCTTATAGTTTTATCATAAATAAAGTTTCTTTTGTTGATCAAAAAAAATGGACAATATAAAAAAATATAGATATAAGTCTTAAAATAAATTATATAATGATAAATTATTTTTTTATACAAAATTTGATTAAAAACTCAATATAATAGCAATATCACGTCATCATTAGCAGGGACGGAACTACCTTTAGACCTACAGGGGCCTTGGCCCCCCTACTTTGTGTAAGATGTTCGGTTATTATATATAAATTTAGTTTAACACACCAACAACTTCTAAGAGTCTGTCCCATCTTATAATTTTAACTATTTTCTCTGCCAACTCTTTATAATACAATAATAATATAAAATATAAAAAAAATGTATTATAAGAAATATATGATTTCTTTTTTATGAAAGTTTAAAATATTTGTAATGTTATGTGTAGTAAATGTTACGAGTAGTTAATTCATGGTGTGCATCTTTAAAGTGAAAGTGAAAGTTATGAATTATTGTAGTTACATTATGAACGGTGTAGTGTAAATCTTACGAATTATTTGTGATGCGAAATGTTACAAACTATTTTGGTGAAAGAAGTTGCAATTGTTATGGTTATGCTACATACATATATTGTGATAATGTGTATACAATATGTACCTTTTAAAAAGTGCACACCATAATAACTCCCTAACATATTATGTTCTAAAATATATTTTTAATTATATTATTCACTTTATAAATAAAATTAAATTCATAATTTTTGTATCTCATTAGCCCAATCATTATTTATCGCTACTGCAATATAAAAACTCTCATTGATTAGTAATGCTATAACATAATATTAATGTTACATCAAATATTTAATAAAAATAAGAGTTTATCCATTTTCAATTAATAGCATGAAAAATCACAATTATTTATTGCATGAAAATTCATTGCTTTAAATCTTTGTTTTTGGCCCCCCCAATGATCGAATTCTGGGTCCGTCCCTGATCATTAGTATGTGATATCACCAACTAATAGTAAATAAACACATAGAAAGTGAACCTCACATGTCAAATGTAACTAACAATCCAATAAATTTTATATCTTTATAATGAGATTATTTATACTTGCATGTCAATAATAACGACATTACCATTACATTGAAAATTTTCATAGATAATATAATTTATAGTAGTCTCTTCATTTTCAATCAAAACAACCATTATTATTTTCATAATTTTTAAAATGTCATTGACATTTCACTCTAATAATATTTATATCAATTTCGTCCAATTGATAATGTCGTAGTGATTTTAACAAAAAAAAAAAAAAAAAATCACAAAATCTGGGGAGCACGTGACCCCCGCTCCTAACGTGGCTGCGCCACTGGTTATATTGGACCGGAAATATGGTTTTCCTATCAATATCTAGAGGAGTAAAGTTGTATTGTTATCTAGAGGAGTATAGTTATATTATTATATTCAACACTAACACTCTCACTCACTCTCTCTCTCTCTCTCTCTCTCCCTCTCTCTATAGAATCTTCTCTCTGGAATCTTCTCTAACTTTCTCTTTAGATATTTCTTGTTAGATTTTGGTTAAAGGAATGTGTGGGTGTGAAAAGCTTGGGTTGCCACCTTTATGAAGAATTCTGGAATTTCAAAGTCGGTGGATATAGCCGACTCTTGCAGCAATAAATACGAAATTGGTCTTCTATGTGTACTTGCAGTGATTGGGGGAAACATGATTCGGATTGGTCTGGATTGGAGTAAAAAGAGAATCAATTTATTTTCAACGATTCCTAAAAAAATAGAACTAATCCAATTCGTTTAAATCGTGGAACCAATTCGCACCAATCTATTTAAACACGAATTGAATTGGTTTAAGACCATGGATTCACATAATTAAATAATAAAAAAATATATAAAACATTTTAATTTTATAAAAATATAAACATAGCATCATATTAGTTCTACAATAACAACATGTCTTTCCACAATAGCGACATACTGCTCTAAAATTTAAACAATCATAAGAAAACTGATTCTACCATAAGTATTAAGATAATTGCAAATTAAAACTAAAAACCAACAAACAAAAGTAATAAAAAAATATACCATGTAGGTTTAGGTTTGGATTTAGATTTTATATGGAACAAGACAAGATACTATGCAGGAGGATGTATAATATAAATATAGCTATTTATAGATCAGTTCCAATAAAAAATCGTGGGGTTCAATCCAAAACCGATCCGTGGATTACAAATTTTTAATTTTTCAATCTGAAACTAAATCACGAATTTAAAAATTAATTCAAACCTATCAAATTAGATTGGATCAAATCGAATTATGAATTTTACAAATTTCTAACGCAGCCCTATGTAGTGAGAGAAAGGATAAGGCTTGGTGTGTGTGAGAGTGAATGCAAAGAAAGTGTGTGAGATATCGACAATGCTACGTAGCTCAAATTTTGTGGCTCAAAAGTGGTTCAAATGGCCAAAACGATGTCGTTTTGAGTACAGAACAACATAAAAATGGCCAAAACGACGTCGTTTTGGCCATTTAAGCTACTTGTTTTGAGTACAGAACAACATAAAAATGGCCAAAACGACGTCGTTTTGGCCATTTAAGCTACTTTTGAGCCACAAAATTTGAGTTACGAGACATTTTCCGTGAGATATATATACAAAACGTGTGAGTGAAATAGCATGAGTGAGCTGTGTCGGTTGTCATGAGAGTGTAGTAATGTCTTGTGTAAGTGCTGTCTCGTAAAGTCTTGATCAAGTCAGCACATATGTGCTAGTAATATAGTGTACTATTGTGTGCAAGTGGATTGTGGATTTGTTGGGATGTATTCGTGTGTTATTAATAAAAGGGTAAATTACACTGACACCTTTAAGGTTTGGTTTAATTACAATTTATTTTTTGATATTTTAAAAATTATACTCTCATCTATGTAATTAATAGTCTCATTTCACAAATTCCCCTACTTATATAAAAGGCAACAACTCTTAGTAGAAAAATAAAAGAAATTACATTAAAAAAAAAGAGTAAAATAAACGAAAAGAAAAAAAAAATATAAGAAGTAAAGCAAAACAAGAAAAGAGAGAGTATATGAGTTTAATGTGTTTATTCCGTCTAAATAATTACAACGACAGGGGATTAGTATAATTTCACAAATGTCAAGGGATAATATATATTAAATCTAAATCTCAAGAGGTGTAAATGTAATTTACTCTTAATAAATATATATATATATATATATCAAATTTTGTGTCAAGCTCGGCGCATAGTTATATTAGATTGGAGATACGGTACATCATAGGTTTCTTGTCAACATTTCAGAGTCTATATTAAGATCCTCCTTTGATAAGAAACAATGATAATGTCATTTTTTTTTTTTTTTTGATAAGTAAAATATTTTCATATCCAATGAAAAGAGATAAAAAGAGCATGTAAAATCAAGTGTCACTTTCATCAGGTGTAGTTACATGAAGACATCATCACTAGAGTGTAGCTGGATTTATTGCATTCCTTATTCAAATATGGATTTCTAGGAACCCTTCAATTGTTCTTCCAAAGGTGAATCTTGCGTGGTGGTTTGGTCAAAAAAAAAATTCTAGCAATGAATTTCAGACATCTTGATGATTAAAAGTTACTAACAATCAAATTTTAGAGGTTTACCGCCAAAACATTATGTCACAAAATTTGAGAGGGAGTAAAAAAGAATGTCATTGCAAACTGATTGCAAACATCACACCTTGGTCACCAGTCAAGTTTTTATTCTCCTCTTTCCTTATACTATTATAAACTTAAATAACTTAAGTTTTGAATGAGTTGATCCTATGAAATCAAATAGACAATAAAAGAGAGATGCAGAGATGGCTATTGTGTTACCTTGCATTGGGAGACAGCCATGATAACCATTGATGCTTATATCCAATGTTTCCAAGTTTCTCAATGCTACTAATTCTACGCCAAGAATATATATGCGTATGAGTAACCATATATATAATTAAAAAGAAACTGCATCGAAAGAGAAGCACAGAATTATGGACGCCCTATGAAAATGAATGGAGGGAAACATGCCATGTGCAGGGAAGTATCCCCCCAAGGCATTGTCACTGATAATCAAAGTCTTAATTGAAGTGAGAGCACCCAAAGAGTGGAAGATCTTATTGTCATCAAAGTCATTGGAACCCAGATCCAAGATCTCCAGCTTCCTCAAATTTGACAATCTTTCAAATCCTGCAAAGAGGAGTACAGTCATCACAATTCAAATATAATTTTTTGCAGGTTA